ATAGTAAAGAACAAAGTTGTAAAGGACAGATGCCAAGACCGCACCAATTAAGGGGCCAACCCAGAAGATCTGTAAAGAAAGGTCAGAGATAAATTCTGTAAAATCTGTAAAGAAAGGTCAGGATAAGGGCAAGCTGTCATCACTAGACCTAAAAGTACAACCCTATTTGACCCAGAGGCAGAAAACGAGACAAAATACCCTGAAGCTTGGTAGGAATTAAGGCAACTGAATGAAGGTCAGGAGTTCTGGCCAAAGAAACTGAACAGCTTTAAAGCTCCACCTGAAATGAACTGGGTCTAAGCTACTAGACCACATTACTTTCTCCCACGGTTTTCCAAGGTTTAATTCCTTTTCTCTGCCTTGGAGTTAGAATCCAACTCACTACAGCCTTTATCATCTACAACCAGGATCAGGACTGCCTGCAGGGTGTGATCAGAAAAGTCAAGATGGTGGCTACAATGGTGTGATTGAAGCTCTGACCCATTTTTTATGTGCATCACCTATGCAACACATATAAAAAACTGGGTAGAGCTTCAATCACACCATTGTGATTGCCGGCTTGACTTTTTGACTATAACCTGCAGACACCCCTGACCAGGACTGTTATGTTCTGCAATATGAGTCAATCCATCTCTTCAAATATTGTGACATCTTCTGTTAAATGTTGCTGTAGAACAAATTTGACAGCAAAATGGCATGAATCTGTCCCATTTTACTGGAGCCTTTCAGCAGAATACTGAAGTATGCCAAGGATTTCCACACAATACTGAGGCTTGAAACTTGCCTGTTATTAAGTGGGGGGGGAAAATCCCCCCTCAATGTTAGATCATTATTTCTCGACCTTGGCAACTTTAAGAGGGGTGAACTTCAACTCCCAGATTTCCCCAGCCAGCCATGTTGAAGTTTACACCTCTTAAAGTTGCCAAGGTTGAGAAATACTGATCTAACATTGAGGGGGGATTTTTCCCCCCCACTTAATAACAGGCAAGTTTCAAGCCTCAGTATTGTGTGGAAATCCTTGGCATACTTCAGTATTCTGCTGA